AAAGTACACGGAGACGTGGCAGTCCTTCATCGAGGGGACGGATGCCTGGGCGACGGCGTTTTGCGAGAACCACGATAATGGGCGCGCGGTGTCGAGGTTTGGTGATGATTCGACGCCCGAGCTGTGGCTTGCTTCAGCCAAGACGATTGCGCTGTGGCAGGCGACCATGTCTGGGACGCTATTTCTGTACCAGGGCCAGGAGATTGGCATGACGAATATGCCGGCCAGTTGGGGGATAGATGAGTATAAGGATATCGAGAGCAGTAACTTCTACTCGGAGGCGTTGGAGTCTGGGGATGCGGAGCGGATCGAGAAAACGATGCATGGCTTGCGCATCTTGGCGAGGGATCACTCGCGGATACCGTTCCAGTGGGATGATAGCCCCAACGCTGGTTTCACGAGGGAGGGCGCGAAGCCGTGGATGAGGGTGCATGACGAGTACAAGTCTATCAATGCCGCGAAACAGCGCGGCGACCCGGACTCCATCCTGTCGTTTTACAAGAGGGTGCTGAAGCTGAGGAAGCAACACCGCGATGTGTTCGTCTTTGGGTCGCATCGGCTGATTGACCCGGAGAACGAGAGGACGTGGGCTATACTCAAGGAGAGCCCTGCGCCGGTGAATGGGAAAGAGGGCGGGGTGAAGAGGAAGGCGCTTGTGGTGATGAACTTTTCGAAGGAGGACGGGGAGAGTGCTGGGGATGTGGCGGCGTTGCTTGGGTGTGAGGCGCCTGAGGTGCGGTTGTTAGTTGGCACGAGGGAGGGCGGGGAGTTGGTGAAGGGGGTTGCGCCGGTGTTGAAAGGGTGGGAGGCGAGGATTTATACCAATTTTCGAGAGTTTCTATGTTAAATACCATGATGCTTGGCAGAAGTTGGGTTCAGAAGCGAGGAGGGGCTCTAATGATATCGATGTTCATGCCAATCTAGACTAGTTCCTAGATCTTATGTACCCAACTTTCTATTGCTTAAAACCTTTTCTCGTTTCAATAAATTCCAACCAAGGTCTGGGAAGTAACAAAAACACTCTTGGCATTTTATAGTAACACTATACCCTTAGTTGGAACCAATAATCGAACGACATCCAGCGCTTACATACAGACAGGAAGCAAAGTAGTTAAAGTAGAACAGCAAATACTGAGCTTACTCCGAAGCGTCCTCTTCATCTCGAGCTTGGAAAACAATGACCCCATGTCCCGCGTCTCCATCATCGAGCGTAACAGACTGGATGTCAGTACTCATTTCTTGAAATTCTCCTGCAGCCGGCAAGCTCGCTTCGCAGTCAACCGACTCCGGGTCTTTAATGCCGCTCTTCTTACGTTTCATAAACTCGCCGTAATGGAGTTGCTGCCTCTTCCCCCATCCCTTCGGCTCAATCTTCAATAACTGATAGCCGAATATGATATCCTGCATCGCCTCGAACCCATGCTGTTCTCTCTGGCCCTTTGAACCACTCACTTGCGCCCCAACACTAACCTCGGGCGACACTTCCACCCCGACCTGAGCATGTGCCGCCCTGTCTGAGCTACTGCTCTGCTTCACAGCAAACCCCTTGGCGATCTTGAGTACCGTGATCATGTACACCGGCTTCGCCTTAATCCTCTCCATATTCATAAACGGTTTCACTGCGGGACTATTACACCGCTCGTGGATCTCCTCGTGCGAGGGGTGGCGCAGGAGGTACGTCGTCTCCAACACGTCCATGGTGTATTCGCCGTGCCTGACGTTACTGCGGCTGGCGCCGACCTTGAGTTGGATCTTCTCGAGGAAGACGCTCCACATGCTGACGTCGAAGCGGCGGGCTGTCTCTTGCGACATGCGCCAGTTGCGCTCGCACGCCGTGTCTGTGGCATACGCGCTGCTACTGCTGGAGTCTGCGTAGCTGCAGACTACGTGCGAGCTGAAGGGGTTGACGATGATGTTGCCGATGGCGATGGGGCCGACTGGGCGGAAGGTCCCTTGGGGGCTAGGAGGTATGTTGGGTTCTGTACGAAGTCCATGTTGGAGTCAGCCAGATGGAGTATCTAGTGAAGTAACGTCGAGTCTGTTGGACGGCTGCTTGCCCAGCTTGCTGATTTTTAGTACCTAAGCACATCGTCTTAAGCAACCTGGCACCCTCCTCCCCCACGCTCTACACCGATAGAATATCGTGCTTCATTGGAAAATGAATGAGGACTTGCTGTCCCCATGGAAATTTCTTCCTCTACAAAATACCGCAATCAGCGCGGCTGAGGCCCGATGGCATTCCATGCATTACGCTGGAATCAAGGGCATCACAACCCAACGAGATCCGGGCACAAAATCACGACCGCCGCATACGCGACATTCAAATATTGCAAACTAATGATGCGGAAATTACGGAGCTAATACCACGAGGCTTGGTCAGATATGCTGGCTTGACCTGCATCAGGTGAAGATATCCGTCGGTAACGAACTAGGGACAGCATTGCGCCTATTAACCTTACGCATTTAGAGCAACGCGAATGAATAACGAAATATGGAGTTACCAAAGTAGAGAAAGAAATCAAGATATCATGAGCTAATTGGGAAAGGGAAATACCAAGAATAGGGGTTTGCTATGCATCATCCCAAACCAAATGCCGAGGTGTAAGACAAGCTGTCTTACTCCCTTGAGAGGCAACATGCCTTGCTTACTTAACATGAACGCCTATGATACTTTTATTGCCCGTAGCTTCGACTTGAGATTGCTGATCGACGTTGTTGTTCGCAAGATAATAACACTCAAGTGATACTGCAAACTCCTCGATGGAAGTTGATAAAACTCAACAAACATCGAGGGAAAATATTTTCCAGATGAGCAAACCTCCGTTGCGTACCTTTAGCATCTACAAGGAGGGCATTGAATAATTTCCCTCCTCCAGCGCCTAATTGCGACGAAAGTACTGGGAGGAAAAGAAAATGCTTTCTCCTAGGTCATTCGAACACTGGACTCGGGGAGCATGGACCTCTTTCGAACGTCTTGTGCCCTGGCCGTATACACCTTTCATCCAGTGGCCATGTCAAATCCTTTGCTATCCTTAATTTGGATTCAGAAACGATAAAGGTGATAATGGTTTGAGCCTTAATATCCACAGATTCGGGGTGCTGACGAATTTTACCATCAGTCAATGTTCCTAACTCCATGTCAAACTCCATTGGGCGCACAAGTAATACTTGAACAGAAGACTCTGCCGCCACGATGCAACGAATATCTCAGCTCACTCTTCGCAACATTGGGCTACCAATTTATCCGATGAGATTCGAGTATAATATTCAATAACCGACTCTCTACAACACTCAATAAACTCTCAAGAACGTGGGGTTCTTGAAGCTTCGAAATGATCCTTTTTAATTATCGCATTGGGTGCCGTCGTAGAATGAACGGTTACACAACGTAGCATATTGCACTGATGAAGCTAAAGCTTTGATACAAGTTTCGTATTACGAATTCAATCTATTAACCCATTCATGAGATGTTCGTAATTTGAATTGACTCTGACGGCCTTATGAAATTCGGAAATCGATAACTTGATGTGACAGGAAGTCTTCAAAACTACTCCCGTTGGACGCACCGATCCTCAGTCCTTCATTCTCGTATTATCATAGAATCTCTCTGAAGGAGTTTAAGAATCTTATGAATGTAAAATTTCTGTTCCTCATAAAGAGTCTCTAAGCTGTCATCTTCAGCCGATTCACTAGACGTAGTCAATTCTGAATCCGAAGCTTCTGATCCGCTGCCTTCTTGGACATCTTGTTGATCTGGCTTGCGTACTGAGACTTCTTGAGTCTCAACCTCAATGAACCCCTTGGACACTAGTTTTGAGATTTAGCTTGGCAGCGAAGATTTTGAGCGGAGCACTAACCAATCTCCAAGATTTTCTCCAAAGCCTCCAGCAAGCCCTCGAGGTGACGGTATATTACTTTACTCGCATTATTTCTATCTCTCAAGTGATGATCAAGTGACGATTTACTGCTTCTTCTTGTGTTGAAGCTAGCCACCCAGATGTTAAAGTCGGCCTGACGGTCTTCCATCCACACTGGAGCAGAAGTAGATCCTGAGCTGACGATGAGCCGGCCGAAAGCAACTTTGCAGTCTGAGATAAAGTGGGGATTGGGAGGGGCTTTCATGTTAGGATGCAACTAGTTGGTGTTGACTCATAAGGCGAATGGATTGCGATGCGAGATAGTCTTTTCTCAACACCGAAATTATGCAAGGAAGAGATCTTTTAGTACATTCACCTTGGGCTGTGGGTGAATAAGAAACTAGGGAAGCGGCTTTGATGGATTTTCACAGGGGAAGCAACGCCAACGAGGGAAGTTTGAGGTAGAGAAACGTGAAAGGCAGCAACTGTTTGAGAAAAGAAAGCCCAAAGGAAACGGGTTTTGGTCTGGGTGTCTGCTTCGCGCAAGCTTGGTTTTGTCTATTATGAGCCAAAAGCCTGCATCTTTTTCGACACTTACGGACAGGGTATATCGGTTCTTCGACTCTCTTGATTTGAATCACGTCTTGTTTCACGGCATTACCCGTCGATCCAAACTCACTTACCTTACTTCTAACGCAATCCGTGGGAACGGTGATTCTGGAATCTTTAGTAAGGAAGAAAAGTATGCATAATAATCGAAATACTCAAGACGTTCTAATGTACAAAGATCTTGTTCCTATCGCCAGGCGGGACTATCCGTTTGTTTGCAACCACTTTCTTGCGCAGAATTTCCTTCGTTTCGGCAACATGGGCTCCAGAATCCAAGCCGTACACTGCCCTTTTCAAGTAGGTCTCGTAGTGCCATGTTCTATCCAGAACACCCATGTGTATCCTGGTGAATCGCAACGCGCAGACGAAGTCGGAACATCGTGCTGATGCCAGTGTGATGCTTTCTTCTGACAAACCTTATATCATTGCATCAACGCTTGCCAGCCTAGAGAGGCCACTATTGAGAAGTCAGAAATTATGTAAACAAGTACAGTGATCGCCTTGAAAGATAATGGGGATTGCTAGTTGGCTGACTTACGCTCTGAAGCCTTCATGGAATAAAGGCCTCTTCCTTTCCGACCGCAAAATTTGCGCACCGCGAGCAACAGCAATGCCAGTGACCATGAGTACAGACGATGACCCCATTCTGCTGTGTAGACGTATGTGATCCGATACCTCTTTGCCAGCCATGCAGTCCTGAATGTATGCCGGCGTTACTTCGATCGTGTAAGTATCGAGCACTTCAAACTTGTCATGGTAAGTGACAGTATCCTGAGATGCAATGTCGGCGTTGGTAATTGCAGTAGTGCCAGTCGCAGCTGTGAAAGGTGCATCATTGTGACCGGATTGGTTGATTAAAGGTCCTGAAGTAAGCCCCCAGAGTACGTCCTCAGACCTTGTATGGTGAATGGGCATATCCACCGGGAACTTCGTTGGCCCCCGATAGTTGATGACGTTGTTAAGATGCGCCAAATCAGGTATGATCTCACCGCAGCACCAAAGCCCCTTGACCAGCCCGGTGACTCCGGTTTCGTCTTCCAATACCATAGGCGGCGGATAGTCCGGCTGTCGCAATGGGAACCAACATTTTTCGCTCATTGTTGCAAGGATGAAGTCAAAGAAAGAAGTATGATCCTGGAGACGATCTGAATGTGATCGCTTAAGGTGTTGCTGCTTCAATATATATCTCGAATCAGTCGTTTGATGGTCGGGAAATTGCGACCTCTGAGTTTTCAGGTTTGCCTTTCTGTTGGAGCGGAGTTGTATGGAGCATCCTCCGAAGGCTACTTAGTCGATCACCGAACTTGTTGCTATTTGTGATCCAACAACAGCGCTTAGAAAGTGAGTGCCTAGGTTGGCAGTTGGGCGCTTAGAAAGACAGCGCTTAGAAGAAGACCACTTGGTTGACCAACCGTTTCTCACGAACCAGTGGATCCGATGTGCATTGTCCCTCAGTGTTATCGCAATCCCAGTTCAACCTGCTTTCGATGCCAAAATCACATCGCAGGCTCGTTTCGGTCCAACAGATTCTTAGCGCCCCCATCGTCTACTTATATGATCTCCAACTCGAGTTTGAGTAGATTCTTTCGAACAGATTTTACCATTGATTACTTTTGAACAACATTTCAGAAATTCGTATTTTAGCCATGAAAGAAGGCATGCTCCCCTTTTCGCTCAAAGCGACTGACTTATTCTGCAAAGTCGTGGACGAGCTGCTCCAAAGCAAGCAGAACGTGCAGTTCTTCAGTCTCCTCCACACGAATCTGTCAGGCATCATGCAGTGGCTGAAAGACTTGTCAGAAAGCCCCGATGCAGATACTTCGCAGGGAGAAATCCTCCATTTTTTGATTCTTTTCGAAAACCTGCTCCAGGTAAGCACTTGCAAGTTTGGAATCTTCGCTAGGTTTTGTCAAGTTATCTAATGCTTTAGCAGTGGCCGGGCCCTCCTGGTAAACACCTCGAGTCTCTCGACCCCATTACATATGATTTGGGGTGGTTTCCTCGACTGTCAGACTTCGTTCAACATCCTGAGATGGGCAACGACCTGATGAGGGCATTTGCTTCAAGTCCCAATACCTCAAAGCTCCGTCTACAACTGTTAGGGTCGCTCGAGCTATTCTCCAAGAGATCCAATACAGACCTCTTCATCGAACACCCGAAGCTGGCCGACTTTGTTCAGACAAGCATCCAAGAATCAGATACAGGGGACTATCAGTATCACCTTGCTGAGTTGCACAGAGTGCTTGCGATGAATTCGATATGTCAACGCAGAGATGAAGAGACGGCCATTGGTGTGAGTCTGAGACTGAGAGGGTTTGAAAGGAATGAAAGGACAACAGATGATGTTACTTTCAACGTGTTTTTTCCTGATCACCCTCATGGTCGTCCCCACGAACACCATGGTAGCGAAGCAAGTCATTGGCAAGACACAAGGATCTGCATCTCTAAGAAAAGGTCATTACATCCCCTCATTGGCGACAGTCATTGGGCTTTGCTGACAGTTTGACCTTAGGCGAAACACTGTCTCATGGATTCCAGAGCCCATACCAAACTCAAATTTTCAGGTTCTCTCGAAAGAGTATTTCTGTGATACGATATCGCATCGGCAGCAAGCACAGCTTCGACTAGTCAATCAGGGCGACAGCTTGGGCGTCCAACAGTGCGCACCGTTATCACGATTCTTCTGTCCACAGACTTCAAGCATCAAACTTTCCGAAATACTCGGTGATCAGCTCACGCGAAAGCAAAGACTAACAATAGCTTACCGTCTGGCCAACGCTGTATGGCAGTTTTACGATTCAACTTGGATGCGTAGGGAATGGAACAAGGACACTATCCATTTCATGCTGGAACGTCGTGGCAATACGGCCAAGGCTGTATACGTCGACGAGCCATTTCTGTCGGCTCACTTCCATGAACCTGAGCCTTTGTCCGAGGACAAGATGAGGTTCCGATACCACCCTTTGCCCAAGGTCCTGGCGCTTGGGATCATGATGTTGGAGGTCGAGCTGGGTCTCAAGATTGAAGATCACTGTCAAAATCGACCCGAATGTTACGACGCCGACGGCAACCTCACAGTCAATGCAACTCACATTATCGCCATGGAAATCTTCAAGTCGTCAGACCTATGGGAGGAGAAGGAAACATTCGAACCATTGAAGGAGCTCATCGGAAATTGCTTGACTGCGGATCCGTTCAGAAACATTGTGGAACATCCAAGGCGAATTCGCGATGCCATCTACAGTCACGTCGTTGTGCCACTGAAGAAGTTGTATGAGACGGCTTGGGGTGACTTTGAAAAGTCGGCCGTCCGACCTATCCGCATGCAGTCGGAAGGGGCTGCGGTACCTTTGAATGCTGGGCTCCAGCGTCTCGCGATCAGTGCAGGCGACCGACACCGCACTATGACGATGTTGCCAGCGAAGGGCTCGGTCTGCGAAGCAGAAGTCAGGTTCGTTCATTCTTGTCAAGTCTTCGTTGATGTCTTCGAGGTCGATATGGCTAACGTCAATCGCAGTTCCGCTCCTACCTCCGATAAATGGTTTGATAAGTTCGAGGGACTGAAGCTTGTCACGCGCCTTTCTCCAAGCCAACGCGACGCTTCATACGCACCTGCCAGGGTAGCTATCCTGGACACCGGAATCGATAAGCGATACTCGCCGTCTATCGTCGATTTCCGAGACTTTGTGGACTATCGGAATGTCAAGCCCTTGGACAGTACCGGGCATGGAACCTATACATTCTCATTGCTGCAGAGGGTTCACCCGGAGGCCCAGGTTTTTGTTGGCCGTGTTTTTAAAGAGGGTCATGCAAACGATGATACCGCGAGTATCATGGCCAAGGTAAACCACATTCCTGCTCCCAATACGACAGCCTCTCTTGAAATTGTCATCTAATGTGAGACCAGGCCATTCGCCATGCTCGAGAAGTTTGGAAAGTCGACGTCATCGTCATGCCATCCGGCTTTGAATGCGATAACGAAGACATGTTAAGGGCAATCGAGGAAGCAAACGCAGCCCACGTGCTCATCTTTGCCGCCGCCGCAAACCATGGAAACCTCTCAAACATCACATTCCCAGGTCGTCTCTACCGCTCTGAGAAGACGTTCTGCATGTTCTCTACAGACGGCAATGCCAGGAGTCTCCCAGCTTTTAATCCTTCGCCCTTACCAGGTGCTCGCAACAGCTTTGCGATCTTGGGACAAGGCATCAAAGCCACGAGTGGTCCTCCTGCATCAGGGACCTCACTCGCGACCGCGATTGGCGCAGCGCTCGCTGCGCGCATCATTGACTTCTCGCGACATCAAGATATCCGGGGCCGCATTCGCAAACCGGAACACTTGAAGCGAGTGGAGGGCATGGCATCGGTGTTTGCCAAGATGGCGAGGATGGACGGCGGTTACCAGTGCATCGCCCCGTGGAGACTGCTGCCGTTGATGGAATACGAAGACTTGATGGACGTGTCTAATCGTCCGTATGTCCGCCATCGTATTTGCGAGGTCATCTCTGGGGCCTTGGATGAGGTCTACGGATGAGGGAAGTGTCTCGATGTAGAGGCTGAAGCGTAGACTCAGGGCTGGCGGCATTTCTGCCGACAAAGAACATGTAGGGAGGAATAATCTGCCTCTGTTAACTCCCTGTATATCTGTTCCTACTTCTGTAATATTCAATGCCACATGTAGCCTGCGACTACTTCCATTTTCCACGCATATGCTTCGGCAAAACTGTTGAAGAATATGATTGGTGTGTCATTCATCCATCACGGCACAAACACAAAATGCCACGACGATCACTGGAGACGATGCAGAGAAGCCTAATTTTGAACATACGAAACGTTGATAGAGCATTTTGGGAATCATCCAGGAAGTCTAACCCTGGCAATCTATGAACCTATCTACAGACTTTGTAGGAAATGGGGGTGTCTCATCCACTCATCACTCATTAACAGCCCCTAAGGGGGCAACACAATAGTCCCTGCTTCAATACCCTCCTCCAATGCTTACTCGTGCCATCACACATTTAGTGAAGGGCCTGGGCAAGCTTCTGGCACAGCTGACGGGTCTCGGGCTCCAACTGCTCCTCAGGCGGGCTGAGAACAGCCTGCAGAACGGGCAGGATCTTGGGGGTGAGGCTGGCGACAGTAGGGTTCTGAGCATCGTACAGGTTGTAGAGGGCCTGGTAGATGGGGGCGTTCTCCTCGTAGTCTTCCTGGAGGGGAAGGGCATCGACAAGGGCGGGCAGGACACGGGCGACGAACTCGGGGTTGGGGTTGCGGATGATCATGCGGGAGATGCAGCCGGAGACATTGTCGACCATGCGAGACTCTTTGATCTGAAGGAGGGGCTCGAGCTTCTCCAGGACGGTGGGGTACTGGGAGATGGTCTTGTCGGTGGCCTGGGAGTTGAAGATGAGCTGGCCCATGGCGTAGGCGGCGTTGGACTTGGCAAGGGAGTCGGGGTCGGTCAGGCGGTGGGTCAGGACGGGCAGGAGAGAGTCGGTGAACTCGGTGACGGCCTGGCCCATGTACTTGACAGCCTCGGCAATGACGCCAACGGCAGTGGAACGCTCGAGAGACTCCTGGGAGCTGGCGAACTTGAGGATGGGCTGCTGGTAAACTCTCCACATCTCGGCGAAGTCACTGCCGAGGACAGTGGCGAGGCCGAGAATGACGTCGAGGGCGGTGTCAATGACGAGCCAGTCGAACTCAGAAGAGCCCTCGGCAGCCTCTTCCTCCTCCTCCTCACCGAGATCCATCTGGCAGGGATGAGAGCGAGTGATGAGGCAACCGAGGATAGTCAAGCTGCTCTTGAGCAGCTCGTTATGTGTAAGGATGGCGGGACCGCATGACTTGAGGGTGGCGGCGATGTTGCGGTTGATCTCAGTGATGACAGAACTATTGGAACGTCAGCAAAATGCCCGATTACATGCTAGCCATGAAAATGATGAAGGTGCCCAATGAATCAGACGTGATCAATCGTGTTCTCAGCAACCGCACTTTGTGCGTCTGAGTGAGCTGGGTATAACGAGAGTTACTCATCCTTTAGGGCAGGGGAACGGGGAAGTAAAGTAGAGATGATGGGGTGCATACCGTTCACTGTCCTCCTCCCAAACACTGAGAGTGGCCTCAACAACAGACTGGCCGAGGTCGTTGATGACCTGGCCGGGGTTCTGCTTGGGGGGGTAGCCAGCCTCCCACTTGGCGCCGGTCGACTCCTCGTAGAGTTGCCAGACGCGGGCGTAGGCGCGCCAGAGGGTAGAGATAGCAGCCTTGCGAGCTCCCTCGTAGGGGTGCTGAGCCAGGGGAGAAACCTTGCCCATGGCATCGGCAAGGTACTTCTCGATGGCGGCGCCGTCGCAGGAGTGGGTGATGACATCGCCAAGAACCTCGAGCGCGATCTCTTGCTCAAGAGCGACGGCGGTGACACCGGCAAAGTCCTCAAGATCCTCCCAGTCGGCATCCTCGTCCATGTCCTCCTCATCGTCATCAGCAGCAGCCTTCAGGTTGAGCTTCTTGCCGTTGGAGATCAGCAGACCCTCGGGGATATCCTCCTCGGTAAGGCCAGGGATAGAGAGAGACTCCTCCTCGAGCTCAAGGCAGTCAAAGAGACCCTTGAAGACACCAGGAAGGAAGTGGGAGAAATCGTTGCCGTAAACCTTGGACAAAGAAGCCCAAAGGATGAAGCTAGTCTCCTTGAGGCGAGCGTTGTCGAGGCTGAGAGCCTCCTCACTGGCCTTCATGAGATCCATGACGTAGGGCTGGAACTCCTGGGCGCCGACAGCGTCGGCAATGCGGCCCATGGAGTCGCAGACAGCCGAGCGGAGGTTCAGAGCCTCCTCGCCGTCCTTGATGGCAACGTACTGGCCAAGCGCACCCATGACCTCAGCGAAGTAGGGCTTGAACTCCTCGCGACCAAGAGCAGCAGCAATGGCGCCAATGGCGCCGGCAGCACCACCCTTGACGGAGAAATCCTCGTGGTGAAGAAGCTTACCCATGGGGACAATGAGCTTAGGGCCAAACTCCTTGATGAGGTCGTCCTCAAGACCCTCACCAATGAGAGAGTCAAGCGCACCGCAGACAGCACGGATAACTCTGACACTCTGGCTGTCGGTAGATCCAACGACGGCCTCGAGGTTGGTGAGCAGAGCACCGATGAGCTCGCGGTGCTTGGGGGCGAGCTCATCAGCCATCTCGTCGGCGAGGTGGATGAGACCGACGAGAGCAGCGTGGCGGACGGAGACGTCCTGGTCGTTCAGCAGAGTGAGAACGATGGGCAGGAGAGGCTGAATTTGGGTGGCGACGAAGTCGGGGGCACCCTCGGAAGCGGTACCGAGAGAGAGCATGGCGGACTTGCGGTGACCAGGGTTGGGGTTCTGGGCGAACTGGGGGAACTGCTCGAGCAGAGGCACAATGACCTGGCGAGGGGGCAGGTCGTTGGCCAGCTGATCGATGAGAGCCAGGGCAGTTCTGGCCGGGGAGTTTTCGTCGTCATCATCGTCAGTCTCGATCTCGGTGACAATCTGCATGCTCTTGACCATGAGAAGGGCACCCATATCCTTCATGCCCTGGATCTTCATGCGGCGGTAGCGAGCGCACTGGCTGAGGAAAGCCAGAGATTGCGAGCGAGCCTCCTCTTCGACCTCGTTGTTGATAGCGAGCTCGAGCATGAAGTGGATGAGGTCCTTCAGGTGGGGACCCAAGAAAGAGGAGTCGAAAGCCAGGAAAGACTGGAAGACCTCGAAGACATCACGGTAGTAGTCGTCGTTGCCCTCGGAGATGGCGTTCTTGAGGATCTCAACCATGGGCTGGACGAGCTGCTGGACGAGCTGAACGCTTTGGGTATCCTCCTCGGGGTCGATGATCATCAGAAGAGCGCCGATAGATCTGACAGAGTTCAGGCGGACATCGGCGCTCGCAGGATCGACGATGGTCTTCTGAACCAGGCCCAGAAGCTGCTGGGCCTGCTCAGTGAAGTGGGTGGGGTCGTTGTCGAGCAGAGCGAAGAGGATGTAGGAGCCGACCTCGCGGTGAGCAACGTTGTCGGCAATATTGAGAGACAACAGGCCGCGGACGAAGTCCTGGCCGTCGCCATCCTCAAGATCGAGACCAATAGCTCCAGCGAGAAGACGCGACTTGGAGTGACGGGAGGGAGCAGACTGATCGCTCAGAATGCTGTCCAGGATGTGCTTCTTGGCGGCCTCGCGCTGAGAGGCGTCAATCTTGGTCCAGTGTCTGGGGGTCAGGCGCAAAGCCTGGACGGAAGCCAGCTGTCGGATGGCGGCGTCATCGTGGGAGACGGTAATCTCGATGAGAAGCAGAAGAGACTCGGGCTTGGAGTAGTAGTTCTTCTGAAGCTCAGCCGTGACGGCCTTGACCTTCTCAGTGTCGGCTGTAGAGAGCAAAGAACAAATTAGCAAGACAGATTTCGCGGAAAATCAAGTGTGATGGACCGGATGAAAAAGCAAAATTTATAGGCGAAAAAAGCACGAGGAAAATAAGCGAGGGCGACGAAATGAGGCAGACGGGCTCGACCAGGTTTGCGGCCGGGGTGGCACAGGGCGATGGGGAATTCGAAGGGGAGTTGAGTAAGGTTACTTACGAATCTGGCTCGCTTGGAGCAGCTGGACCAGGTTTCCTTTATCCATCTTGAGGTTCTGTTGGAGTCTCGTCGTCCTCACAACTATTCGCAAAAGAAGGAAAAGACGAGGAGGGGAAGAAGAAGGAAAAAGGAGAGAAGGAGGTGAGAAGGGGAGAGGAAAGGGAAGTAAAGGCCCGGCGCAACTGAATTTTTATCCAAGCACAGAAGGACCAGGACGGGGTGTGTCGGCCAGTTGTTTTGTTGATGCCCGAACCACCTATGACACGCCGCAACGACGAAAAAATAAAAATAAAAATAATGAGAAAATAATAAAACCACCAGCCAAATGACAGCTTTGGAGGCAACCGCGGACTTTCACCACACAAAATTTTAGGGGACCAGTGTGAAAATTTCGAGGTGAGCCCCGCCACCACTGATAAGATAAGGAGGGGTAGAAGGCGTCAAAGCCTGAAGGAACCTAGGTAGAAAGAAAAAAAAAATTGATGCAAGGCGGGGTCAAGTCCAGGTACCCCTCCTCTACTTTTCCTACGCGCCTGCAGAAAATGCGTAACGACAGCATGCTTCTTGGTACGTACCCGTTCTGCCCCTCCATTCACGTGCTCTTGACTCTCGAATCTTCACTTGCATTGTTCACCTCCATCATCCATGTCGGGAGCCATAATACTGCGCTATGTCTTCAGACTGCCTGGCCAATCTGTCTTGGGTAATACAATGAGCTTACTAAACCATATGAGGCAATAAGACAGGCGCGGCTCGTCCACATTACCTTCCACGCTTGGTCATTGCTCACCTTCTTGCTAGTCTTGGTGTGCAACCGCAGTCAGTCAACATTGCAACTGCTTTTGTAATTGGGTGTACATTTTGCTCCCTTGAAGATATTCTTCTGGTTTTTGGAAGCCCAAACATTGTGTGAATGACTCCTGGTGTCTTGCTGTTGTTGAGTCTATGGGCATATGGGAGTAGTCCATCTTCATGCCTTCTACAGCTACCAGCATGGCTTCCGCCATGTGCAGCTTTACTTACCTGATACTAAAGTCGATGAGCAGAGGCCTCCATTTGAGATTGGTGTTGCGAGAAGAATTTTCAACAAGATGCCGCATAAATTGTGGGCTCGGTCTCGTTTCGAGCCATGCCATGCCGAGCTTCTTCACCGACACTTTCAAGTCACCGGACTATTAGCTCCACTTTACCCGACACGGATCCGGGTTTGGTTTCTCCATACTTCGGCCGGTTCCGGATGAACATCGGGCGGGTGCCGCGGCTGGTTCTGTGCAGTGAAGCCGCGCTCTGATTTGATACGACATAACTTCATATGCCCTCGGTTTGAATTCGTTTTCTTTCCTCATCAGCTGCAAATAGTCAATCTGGGTCTACAAAATGCGTTCCAAGACAAAGTTGATGAGGCCGAGCTTCTCATCCCTCTCAATATTCTCAAGTATATTCCCGGCTCATGGCTTATTTATCATCTGAGGTAGTTAGTTGTGGGCTAAACATTCCGTATCGCGTCGATCAGATCAATGGATGTGGAATGCATCAAAGTTCCACTTCAAGCCGCAGTTTGAACTATGATGGTTGTTGCTAGCCATGCTCAATAGTCAGGCGATATCCAATGGGAGCTTGAAGAGCCTAGGTAGGAACAGTTCGGTAGCTAAATGGTCAAAGTCAAAACAAGCAAAAACTTCAAGATTCACTGTAAGCCATTCATGAATACCAAGTAAGCTTGTATCACCCAAGCGACGAAATTTTCATGTAATGCAAATAGGCAGAGGCAGGTAGCCCCATCTCATTATGATTGATTATGCTTCTATGTAAGGAATGTATCGTGATATGCATATGCCAAAGGATTGAATAGCGCCGGTTCCATGCAATGTCGGGTGTCCTCCCAATCGAACACCCTCCAATTATTTGATGCTGATTAATATGCCGTTCTTGTCGTTAAGTCGCTTGAGTGTCGTCGCAATTTACAAACCACAGGCGTCAAGACCGACCTGGGTAGCCTGGGCATCAATGCGGCCAAGCTGAGCAGCCTGGCCGTTGGTGAGGTCGTTCATGGCGCCAAGAGCCAAGTTGAACCCGGAGCCAGCGTGGTCGATGGCGAGAACGTTGATGCTCTTGCCGTTGTAGGTGAGCTGCCAGCAGGTGCCACACTATCGTGTGTGTTAACAAGTGTTGGCGAAGGTATGAGGAAAGAAGAGTGAAACTTACGTTGGGGGAGTTCCAGCCGGCGATGGCGTCAGCGCCACCGATGTAGGGGAACCTTGCGACCTGGCCCTGGTTCTGCCATCCGTACTTTGTGATGAGGCCGTTGGCGCCGTCGGAGCAGGAGACGGCGGTCAGGGAGCGGGAACCGTCGTCGTAGCCGGTGTCGTAGGAGACGGAGACGGCGGCCGCGGCGGCGATGGAGGAGAGGATAGTGACGAGGTTGGAGAACTGCATCTTGAATGTGGTGTTTGGGGTGGTGAAGGTGTGGTTGAGGTGGTGTTGTAGATGGAGCTAGGGAAGCTTGTTTTTAGAGTTGTGTGATTGTAGTAGTTGGAGATGCTGGTGTAGAAGCTGATGAGGTTGAGAGAGAAGTTAATCGAAGGAGGCGAGTCTTCGGTCTCTTCTTATACAGCCTCGATCTCAGCTCGTCCCTAACAATGATTAGCCTCTTCACTACTTTAGGCTCCATCACCAGACCCGAACCGAAGCGGATCATGGTCTCCAACGACAAACACAGCAAGAAGGCGGGAAAAAGTCATCCATGACGTTGCGGTCTCTCCGGCAATAGCGTCATGTCGTGACATGGCCGGCAACAGGACCCTTGGCCGGCTTGGCGAGGACTCCGTACTACATGTCACATCGTATGGGATGACTGCCGGAGAGGGGACAAGCCTTCCCCAGGGTTCCTTCAATTCGTATTGAGCGGCGCAGTTTACGGGAAGCAAGGGAAAAGAGAGAGTTAATCCGTAGTCTGTAGAAAAAGCACCACCTGCACTGCCGATCACAGATCTGGTTTATTGACGTGGGGAAAGGGCCGCTAGAAGGAGGCGAGGATTATTCTCGTATTCACTAGCCCCGATTTCCCAGCGCCGTTGGGGGGGCTCACGCTCATGGCATGGGGCGGGAACAAACACGCGATGCCTCGAATTGGCTGCTGCTGCGACGGACCGGCGACGGTGTGTAGTTGACGGGTGCATGCGACAGGGCTGTCATCATGGGCTGTTTTTAGCAATTAAACACCGCTAAGGTTATTTGGGTTTAGTATTCCCTGGTTCCGCAACTTTGCCCCGGTTTGCCAGCCTCTCTTTCCTTCCAGCCGCTTGAGAAGGGAGAAGTAAACTGATTCCGAATGAGACTATCACAACTCAACGTATGCTCTTTGGAACAAAGTATTTTGCTTTTTTTTTTTTTTTTTTTTTTTTTTTTTTTTTTTTTTTTATAACATCCTTCTGAACTTATTTGGGCCGTCGCAGAGGAGCCTCCTCGATTCAATATGCAGGACTTGGCTCATTTGTGCGTCGGGCGACTTTCCCGCCAACAGGTGTTGATCTCTTGTTTTTCCCCACACAATGCCGGCGGGACGTAACGTCAGGTGGCTCTTTTTTCCTCGTGTTGCTTCTGGTCGCCAGAAACGGTTTCTTCGCCAACGCATGCGTCCGCTGCCCGCTGCGACCTTACTGTTTCCTCGTCGTACAGGAAGAGGAAAAAAAGACTTGACATGAAAAACCCCGAATCCGAGTGTTCGGGGCTTGCATCCTCGGAGGATTGGGGCTGGCGTTCTGCGATGCAAACGTCGAGCGTCATGGGCTTACGGCTGTGGCGGGCGCCATCCCACGTTCAGATGAGCCCCAAAAATCAGACCTACGTACCGCAACCACGGGCACAGCATGAAGAGGAGAGACCTCGACGCCAGTGAGCGCCGGCGCTGAGTCTAACAAATCGTAGTTCGCTCATGATGGCGAAGCAGTAGGGCAGTGGGCAACTTGGTAGCCCTTAGCCCTCATTCGCCTTCCGTCTATTGGCATAAGGAGCGCTTCGTGCTGACCATCCGCGGCGTCGAGCAACGTTACAAGCGCGCAAGCGCGGATCAGCACGCGCAGTCTCACTCGTCTGCGACAAATGGGCCGATCGCTGTGTTGGTCGCTGCGTCGCCGTCCGCGGGGTGTCCGATGTATCCGAGCTTCGCCGCCCTTTTCTTGAGATGCTCCTCTAAGTGATCGTCTTTGAGCTGAGAATAGATGTTGGTCATGGCCACAACGCTTGTGGCATCTGCATAGCGAATGAATCTCCATCCGTAGCTCCGCAACTCCAGAATGAAGCTTTCCGATGCGATTGGCAAGCATTTGCGATGGACGGTGGAGTATGCGGTTGGCTCGGCAGAACACGAGCTCTTGTCCTGATCCCCGCTTGCTTTTGGAGTTCCTGGTAGATCTTCGACGAGGAGGCGGTGAATGGTCGTCACTGTGAGACCCCTCCTGGCAGCGAGTCCTTCGGAATTACATTCCATGCTTAAGGCGGGTCTTCGTGAAGAGGGCCACGATCATTTCGAGTATTGGGAGAAAGATGCCCAGTCAGGCTACTGACTCGGCTGTCTGCAGTCTCGGGGACTACCCGAAGGCGAGTTGCTCGCAGGAAGACGGCGATACGAGATGGAGTTTGGAGATGGGCTGATGTAAGGCCGGGAAGAGAATAGATTAATACGGATGACATCCCAACTTGTCAAGGGGAATGCTATCCAAATCGCTGCGATAGATCACGAGGAGCTCCTCAAGAGATCGACACTTCTGTGGTCCGCCTGAAGTATTGCTATCATCAGACGAGCATCTTGACCGAGTGTGGAACTCTTGGCAGTTTGTTGACGAGGCTGGTTGTGTTGGTAAGTCGACGAGTCAAAAGGCAACAGATGCCACCAGCTTCTGAAATCAGTCGAAAGCTGAGAGCAGTGAGCAGTATGTCACACAGCCTGACCCCGGGATGAGGCATGAGATGTAGTTGCAAGATGCAGCTGTCATTGGCAAGAGGCTCCGAGCAGAGAAAGTCAAAGGAAACTGGATGAGAAGGAAGAGGCTACGCGATAAGATAAGATAGAGCTGCAGGTGTGGTTACCTCATTTCAGTGAGGTGAGGTGCGCTGAGTGGAGGATGTTCAGCCTTGGAGCAGGGCGATAAGACACTGACACTGCGCTGAGAGCTGACCGTGCATTGAGACCAGTACTCTCATTGGCCAATGGCCGCCCGGAGGGACACCCCGCACTCGAAGGGGACGTACCTGTGTACACTGTAGGGCTTCACCCCACCAGGAAGCAGCGCCGGGCCGCTGAGACGCTCCGGTCATCGGGCGACGTCCAATTTTTTTGAGTCACGAACGACACCAGTTTAAGCAATACTGAGCTAGACTCACTCTCAGTTTCACTTTTCTGCGTGAGATTTCATACTCGTCTCACGTAAAAGCCACCAGAAGGTATCACAGATCCATTCCATAACCTCCATTGAGACAACCGTCGATCGACGTGAAGCTTTCACCCCGCCTCACCGAATTGATCTGAACCCCTCACCTCATCCTATCTCCTCAGCCCACACACACACTCACACACTCACCCCCTTCCCTCATCCAACCAACTTACACCGCCCGCCAGCCTCGCCTACCATGACCAAAGAAACGTTCGTGATCAAGACGCCCTCGTCCTCGGCCAACATCGGCCCCGGCTTCGACGTCATCGGCCTCGCCCTCTCCGTTTACCTCGAGCTGCACGTCACCGTCGACCGCTCAAAGACCTCCTCCTCGGAGCCCCTCAACTGCCGCCTCACCTACGAGGGCCAGGGTGAGGGCTCCTCTGATATCAGCCTCGACCCGTCCGTCAACCTCATCACCCGCGTCGCCCTCTACGTCCTGCGCTGCCACGGCCAGCGGATGTTCCCTGTCGAGACCCATGTCCACATCAAGAACCCCATCCCGCTCGGCCGCGGCCTCGGTAGCTCCGGCTCCGCTGTCGTTGCCGGCGTCATGCTCGGAAAGGAGGTCGGACACCTGGACCACCTCAGCTTGGACAGACTATTCGACTTCTGTTTGATGATTGGTGAGTAACCCCCTTTCGCTAGTATTGATACCCTCGACATCCCCAGTGCAGTGTTACTCACAAACAAACCAGAGAGACACCCGGACAATGTCGGCGCCTCGCTATACGGTGGCTTCGTCGGCACCTACCTCCGCCCCCTGAAGCCCGAAGACGTCCAGCGCATCGAGATCCCCCTCAGCGAAGTCCTGCCCGCCCCGGCAGGCGGCGTCGACACGGGCGAGACCCCGCCGGAGCCGCCCCACGGCATCGGCCACCACATCAAGTTCCCCTGGGCCAAGGAGATCAAGGCCATCGCCATCATTCCCGACTTCCAGGTCCCCACCCACCTTGCCCGTGAGGTGCTGCCGCCTCACTACACCCGTCCCGACGTTGTAAGTGCCTCTTGACCCCCAAAAGGGGCATCGTTGCGTTTTTCCTACCTCGACTAACCCAAAACGCAGACCTTCAACATGCAGAGAATAGCTCTTCTCCCTGTAGCCCTGGGCACTTCCCCCCCAGATCCGGAACTCATCCACCTGGCAATGCAAGACAAGATCCACCAGCCCTATCGCCAGACCCTCATCCCTGGCCTGAGCCAGATCGTCGAGGGCATGTCCCCTAGCACGCAGCCGGGCTTCCTCGGCGTCTGCCTGTCCGGCGCGGGTCCCACCATCCTCGCGCTCGCCACGAGCAACTTTGAGGAGATTGCCAACAAGATCATCAAGATTCTCAGGGAGAACAACGCCGATAAGAACGTCGGCTGCGAGTGGAAGATTCTGGAGCCCGCTGAGGGAACGCAGGTTATCCGGTGAGAGGTGAGAATGAGCTGGCGAAAGGGAAAAGGGTTGAAAACTTAGAACACGGATTTGGGCGAGTGGCCACGTTATCAAGCATTTAGAGGTCGGGAAATTTAGAATCTCGTTATGATACCCAGATGACCACCGGGAAGTCCGACCCGTTCTGTGACCATCCTGAGGCTTGTTGATCTACTTGCTTTGCAGTACTCCATCGGTCGACCATGTCGCGACCTTGTCCAGATATGTCCTCAACCTGTCCTCAAACGCCTCCCCATTCCAGCACTCTCTGCCGTCGATGACCTCTCTCCGAGGCGGACCAATCTGCTCGATAACGAAGCCGGCCGCCACAGACCCATACGCGGACGCAAGCACCGCGTCATCCGTTCTCGCAAAAGCAACTGCAAATGCTCCGAGGAACGCATTCCCGGCGCCTGTGGGGTCTTGGACTTTCGAAGAGCCATGGTCGTAGAAAGGGGGCAGCCATATCGGGTTGCCGCCCCGGGGAATCGTGAGACAGCCCTGTTCGCCGCACCTGATGACCGTGACCCGCGGTCTGTTCCGCACTTCCTCGAGCAATGCAGAATGCCCCGATGCCTTGATATCACTGGAGAGGTTGATGGCATGGTATTCGATAAGTGCCCTGTTGTAGGGTATCCCAGGGCCCTCGTGCATGCCCTTCATACGTAGGAGTTCGTGGTCGTTTGGAGAACAGATATCCGAAAGGCGGAGGGCTCTCATGTGCTCGGCCTCGCGGTTGTGAATGTTGATAGGTGAGGGTTCCCATGCGATGAGGGAACTTGGGTTCTCCATTTGACCGCGGAGGTTTGTGAGGGTTTCCATATGACGTTCGAGATCTTCTGGTGTCGCTAGGGTGTGAACCACCGAGGATCGAAGAAGCGGTTCAGGAAGCCGGGCTAGATTCGGGTGTAATGGTGGCACAGTATATCGAAACGTCTTTTCTGCGAGTCGATGTTAGTCCGGGTACGTGATTCATGCAGGAAAGATATCAGCAACTCACTTCCAAAGGCATCATTCTCATATTCCAAAAGACCTCTCGTTGACAGCCTATCCGGCGTCTCGTCATAATGAACGGTGACACCCCATCCCGCAATCTGCTGTCTCACAGCAGTCGGGAAGTCAGATCCAGCCGTAATGACACAACACACATTCGCAGACTCATTTTGCGGAATGGCAAGGCGTGCGCCGAGAGTACCTAACCAATATTAGAAGCTGAGCTTCACCCTCCGAAATATTCCCAAGAAAGCGACACCGAGGAGGAAGAAGCCAACCATAGGTGAGGCTCAAAGTCCGGCTGCCACAGCTTCCACTCACCATAAAACCCAGAACCGCCGGGAACGTCGCGAAGAACTCTCCCGTCCGGAAAGCGGAGCTCATCAATCACAACCATGCCGAGCGAAATAAAAGCCGGAGCCGGCGACCCCATCCCCGGCTCCGGACCGCCCGGCGATTCGGACATCATGATTGGCTGTTCACGTTTGGCAGGTCCCGGGGTGTTTAGACTCATTACGCCCCGGAATGAGATGGCAGAAGTTTGAGGTCTTGTTGAGAGAGACACACCACACCCGGCCCCCGTTTGAGACCTTTTCGCCCGCAGCCAAACACGTGGGCGGGGTGAGGCGAAATGATTGGATCCTCGTAATTCCGAGCTGCGCTCCCTGCGAAGGGCTGGAGAATATGGATAGGTACGCAAGGTATGGGGGGGAGACCCATGCCAAAAAGGTTGTTACGACGATGTCCATCCATCTCCCGGGCCCGGCCCGTCTCTTTGCTCATCCGCGGATCTCGAATAGATGATATCTGCCACACCAGCTTGTTGCTCTATGTTTCAAACGCCATTATCACAGCTCGTGGACCAATAACGCCACAGCGGCTTTAACGACGTATCGTTGGCCGCGGCCACTGTGTGTCCAGAGACAATCTCTTATCTTAGACAAGCTCCCGCGTTCGGTATCCTCGCCGCGACCGCCCCGAAACGTAGAATCCTCCCTGGCGATCCGCGTGTCTGAGATCATGAAATGTGACTGGGTACTGAGGCGAAGACTGCACCTCGGATTCGTGGATTAGGGGCAGCATGGGAATGAGCGGTGAATGTGAAATCGTCCGCATCTCATTCGCCTCACTGAGTGTTCCAATGTAAGAGGCTCAGAGAGGTAGGCATAGGTAGGGTACTCCCGAGTGCCTGGATGCCAATCACGCGTTCCTGATCACCAATCTCGAATAAGCCAGGCCCGGCGGCATGTTTCTTTTTGAATGATCCTTATTTGTGCGTGTTGGTATCTAAATCGTCGGCGCGCATACATACCTACCCTTTCAGACAGCATTGCATTTGCATTTGCATGGAACATATGCGTACTTACACGTGAAGTAGGCATTCGAGAAGGCAAAACAGTAGAACGAGGCCATCGATATCGCGCCACATGTAGGCGCCAATCGTAATTACTACATGAGAGATTCGCGGCGTGGCCGGACGCAGATGAGGCGTGTATCAGTCAAGCCACCCCGTCTGGACCTCCTTCGCAAGAATGAGCTCCCCATGGGATTCCCGATAATGGATTTCCACAGTGTAGTTCTTCTTTCAAGGTACAATCTTGTCAAAGAAGCCGAGCCGAAGCATCCTGTCAGTCTCCCCAGCACAACTAACCTGGTCCAAGAATCAAACTTCATACACGGGAGCGGCAGACGTCGTCGCACGGCCGTCGCCCCGTCCGAGACGCCATGGGCTATTAAAAATACCGGCGCTGGGGAATAACCAGAGTCGAACCAGAATTTCCAGACACACGCCAGAAGGAACAGACTCCAGGGCCTTCCCTTGATCGAGGAACCGGGCCAGTGGTTCCTCTCAGAACTTTTCCCCTCGCCCAGACTCGGCCCTGATTCGTGTGTCTTTTTTGGTGGTTCCAGCTATTAGAGAATTGTCCGAACGACCCCCACGGCGACGGGTTGGTCTGATGTTCGGCGATAGATACCTCGCTCTCCGACCTCTTCTTCTCGGTTTTAATCCGTCCGCTTGCATGGGCGCGAGTATCAGAACGTTCGGGATTCTAGGCCTCCTTCTTCGGCGCTTCTCCTTGCCGTCGTCATCAAGGATCCGTTTTCGAAGGCTTCTTCATGAATCAGGTTCTTGTCGTCTCGATGGAGTTTTGTTCATGACTTCATGGTCCATGGGGGGTGAATATCGCCGAGTTGTTCGGAGGTCTAGTTCGGACAGCGAACAACAGATTGAGACGCCGTCTGAAGTGTAGCTTGCCACACCTTGCATAAGCTTCAAGGATTGGCAGTGAACTACATAGTATACGCGGATGAGAGAGGAACAATTTTGAAGGTGCCGTTCGCACCGAGTAGGGGTGCACAAGACCGATTCAAGATGCGCTGTTTGCTTACCCGCCCAACCTGGCAATTTGAACCGTCAAACATCCTCAAGTCGGAGAACGATTGCCGTACAACTGTCGTGGGTCGCCGTCTGTGACGGTGGACATTTCGAGAAGGACATGGGATTCTGGCAAGGTTTCCCAACGATCTGGCCATGCGCCGATCGTCCTTCTTCTGTGGCCAATCATACCGACGCCAATTCAGTGAGTAATTCGACCTGCGGCAGCGGCACAAACACCCCCGGGACGGTGGATCTAAACCCCAAGCGGTGAGCCCAAGAAGCTATGGAGCTCCCCTGAGCTTCCAGGTCCCGGCTTGCCTACCAACCACCAGCGTATCGTGCCAGTGTGTAGCTTTGCCCTGTGTATCTGTCCGTCATCTCTTTTATACCTTGATGCACTGTCCTAGGTGCAATTTCCACCATGTTGGCAGGCAAATAGATTGGCCTTGGCTCAGTGCGATCTTCGGAGGGTTAATTCACGAGCCCAGAGTCAAGCCTCAACGGTTCGCCCTGTCCGCCATCTGGCCCTGAGCGACTGGCCAGTGATGTCGAGCGAGAGAACCCCATCCAGGCCAGGCATGCCCAGCCGACAAGGGCGATCATGGGGTTGCAGGTCCCCCGGCGGCAGGGGGGGAATACGCTAACCAGCCCCAGCATGTCTTGGTTGGCAGGCGTGGCAGGGCAGGGCGGTACCTATGTTACGACGATTCTTTGGGACAATCCCAGGGGCGACCACAGCGAAAGGAGAACTTGCGATCCAAAGAGGCCAGAGTCCAGAGTCCAGGACGGAAGCTCGACGAGAGTGTCTAAGAACGGACGACGAAAACAGGAACGGGAAGCGCTACGATGGCCAAGCCAGCCGTTGCTGAAGAGAGAGAATAATAGCGAGGATGGATGGAGACGACGGAAAAAGGACGCCAATGCGCGTCTCGGTCAACAAATCTTCAAGTGGCAGACCAGCCGTGCCTTAGCCCTGAGCGAGTCTGACGGTTCGTCCAGCGGGCCCTGACACGCCAGAGTAAGGTGTAGTAATAGCGAGCGTCAGTGGTGCGTCTGTGGTTCATAGTGCGCGGGTGTGAGAGCGAAGGAAGTGTGAGGTGGCTGCTGAGTGTTGTACTCCGTTCAGATGGCCGTGTTGGTGACGGTTGCTTGGGCTGTTGACCGAGAGGATTGTCGAAGAGAGAAGTATCCTCGTACCTTTACTAAGGCACCTTAAGTAAGCACTGGTACGTAGTGTGGTGTGAGTGGGGGCAAAGGGACGGGAAGCCGGCGTGCATGTACCGGGGGACCCGCAGCTGGCCCAAGCTCCTCAACGTCTCGAAGCTTTTGGTTTCCCTTCCAAGTTCCCTGTCCTTCTTTTCGCCTGTCCCCCGTTTCTGTCTTCTGTTCCTGCTCGCCTCGAGTTCCCTCACCCCAAGCACCAAGCAGGGACCTGGAAACTGTCAAGGCGAATATCAACCCGCGCTGTCAGTGCCAGTCAATATTGTCGTAGCCAAGCTCCTTGTGATTCATAAGTGGAAATTGTAGTCGACAAGGAGTCAATAACGCTTCACGCTTCCCCGGTGCACAGCCTGGGAGCCAGCCATGCCATACGGAGTACCATGCCATGCCAACTCAGCTCAACAAGCATTTTGATGGATACCTGACGTTTCGATGGGTACGGAGGGCGCCGCGCGATCTGCAATTCCGCATAGTCATATTCTCAAGTTAATGCCGTCCCTGAAAATCATCACAAACATCGACACCGAGTCGTGGAGCCAGCCACGTAACAGTGCCTAAACTCCGGTGACATTGGTCAGCGATACTTGCTGTGTATTCACTGGCGCGCCCAGGCGACTCTGTCATGCGACGGATCTGTGGAGTCCCAGTTTGGTATCTGGGGTTTTCTGTTTACTCCTGCTCTGCTATTGTGACAATCTGTCCAGGGACCAGCCAGGCTTGAAAGGGTTATGGATGTCTCTATTTCTGTTGAGGAGGGCGTGTCTAACAACACCCAGCCTGTTCCTTATCGGTATCACCGGGAACCCCCCAAGAGCCCATGGGGACGTTGGAACGTGTGTGTCTGACATCAAGCTATCGCCGTTGCCTCTGAGTCTGCTTCGTCTCCTTGACCAGCGTCGTCCCCTGCATCTTCAGTGTCAATCTCTTAGAGGGAACCGCTCGTCATCCCCCCTCCATCAACTTCCTCGCCTTCACACCACCACAAGTCGCTCGTCTCTTCGATCATCGAACTTGGCATCACGATGGGAACTATGACAATCTGACACCCGAAAGCCAGTTCGCAGTTGGCACTAGTTTAGACTCGCACAACCAAGCAAATCACTGCACGGTGACACCAACCGCGAATTTGATAGGTTTCTGGGTTGGGGTTGGCGGAATAGGCTCGGCCGTTCTCGCTCAATCTTCCACCCTCCTCCCCATGGACAGAAGCGCTATGGCAACCCACGCTCGCCTACTGCTCCTACCTTACTGCTTACCTCCCGGCCGGTGCCCGCCTTGGCAGGGTCACGAAGCTGCTTCATCGCAGTACCCGACCACCTCGAAGAAACCAAGTGAACCACCGAACCCAGTCCAGGCTCCACGGGTAGAGTCTTCTTTGCCTGAACGTGGTCATCGCATACACGTGCCCTATCCTTGCTCTCTCTCGTCCTTGCGCATCGATGGATATGTCTCTCTTGTCTCCAGCGCCTCGTTTCCTGCCAAGTTTAGATATAGAGTACTGGGCCCACTGTCACAGTGAATCTGCAAACGGCAGCCGTTCCATTCTCCACAGAACGGAACTAGATTGGCACGATTGGCACGGTTAGAATCTGTGTCCGACTCCGCGGGAGGTCACTGAAAGGTAAGTATCAGTCCTCACACCACCACCACCACCACAATGCAGAACCCTGGGTTCAGCGCCAGTAGATCCCAGATCCAGGAGCGGTGACGGTAACAGCAACAGCATTTTACAAAATCCCTGAGAGCTTTGAGGGGAGTTGGGGTAGGTTGGCTGGAAATACATGCCATACCCGCGCCATTCCCCTCCCGTCGTCAGCTCACGCGGCGCCCCGCGCAGATCGGGGCGGTCTGGTGCCCGGACTGCTGAGTGCTCCCCGACTCCTGCTTGGATTTCTGTTGTATAATAGTTGGAAAATAGTGTCGCCACTACGGATGCTCATCCGCAATACCCACCAAGCTACGTACAGCCAGTCTGACGATGGACTTGCCCATGTAACTTCATAGTCTACGTGATCTTGCCTCGCGACTCGTAACTCACTGTAGAGTTCGTCGGCTCCTCTGGAACTAGAAGGACGAGACCAACTGCATCCGCGGGGAACAGACTAAACAAGACTCGCCTTATGTGCATGCGTGGTGGCACAATAGCGTTCCCACCCATGGGGCAGAATGCCGACACATACATTGAGGTGCGTCTCTCTCCCCCACTCAACCAACCAAAATAACCATGACTTGTTCTCCCTGGGGCCCCTGCTGATCTGATTGGATCCCTCCTCAACAATTACCAGGGAGGCCATCTCACTCACTCAACTTACTCTCACTCTCTCGGCAGTATACTCTTAGCACAACATTGGCAGCTTACAGGCTCAACTAAGCTCTACCGATCGATAGCGCTATACTCATTAGCCATACTAATGGAAAGTCAAGCCTAGAAAGTATGCGGAAACGGATACCAAGTGCCTGCTGGCAAGGGTATCTCACCCACTCCCGGCACCCGGCTCTCACCCTCCGCCAAAGGCCAAAGGCCATGCCATGCCATGCAGGCTGTCCTCCGCCGTTCACCGGACCTCCGGGTACATCCACCTCCTTCGTACCTCTTACACGGACAACGGGCGCGACCTGTACTTTGACCCTGATTCCACGTTTCTTAGCAACGCAAGTACCTTTCTTTTCTCATTCCCTCGTAAGGTAGGTTCAGATAGGATGCAACTCTTACCGTTTACCTTAGTCTGCCACCATACCACACTCTCACTCACCACTTCCACCAGCACAACCGCAACCGCCGTTCTCATCCCATCCCATCCCCGAACCCAGACCAGACCTGGGACCGCCCTCCCCCTCCCCTTCTATCTCTGTCTCTGTCTCAATCTCATCCCACCGCTCACTCCGTCGCATCTCATCCCATCCATGCCCCTACCCTCTCTCCAATCCAAACCTGTCCAAACGTATTCGCTGGCCCACCCTGGCCAAGTCCCCGTTCCAGTTCCCAGTGTTCCAGTTCAAGTTCCGGGGGTCGTCAGACAAGAGAGGGTGTGTATCTACGCCCTGTGTGTATGGAGGTGTACGTGTGTGTGTGAATGCTCGTGTGGTAAGATAGTGCGCGTGTGTGTGTGTGTGTGTGTGTGTGTGAGTGAAGCTCTGTCTCGTTGTCTCTGATCTCTGATCTCTCACCCGCCCTTCCCTCCTTCCGTGCGTTTGTATATCTGCCGTGCAACTCCCCCTCCATCTTCTCTTGATTCCCATCCATCCAACCATTCATCAACTCTACTACATCTGCCGTCCGTCCGTACACACGCATCTACTCTGCCACTCGCACTCAGCAAGCCTGAAGCAACCTCTCACTCTCACCTCACATCTGAGTCTTAAGACATCGTCACCAACCTCTTCCAACAAGCTATCAGAACTACAAGCCTGGTCGGCACTTGAACCCCCAAAACATCAACCAACACATCGGAATTTCTTCAAACCCCCCAACCCCCCAAAACCGCCAACATGTCGCGCATCACCGCCCCCGTCGCAAAGCTCACCCGCTCCATCAACTCCGCCGCCACGGCCAGCCGATCCAGCGGCCTCCTCGAGTCTCACTACAACGTCAACCACGGCGCCGTCCTCATGCCGAAATACGCAGAGCTGCTCCAGAACCGGAGCACCCGCGAGCACGATGTATGTCACACTCTCTCCCCCTCCCTTCCCCTCACTCCCCGCAGTCTCTCACCAAGAAGCTCTACTATTGAAACAAGAAACTCCAACTAACACAACACCACAGTCCGCCCGCACCCTGAGCACAACCCACCGCCCAACCCCCCAGCCAACCCGGACCTCCCCCTCCGTCCGCCAGATGCAAACCTTCTCCTCCGGCGCATCATCCTCTACCAACGCCGGCGGAATGGACTTCACGATCCTCCCCATCTCCTACGACCCCGTCCCCAGAAACGAATTCGCGGGCATGCGCATGCCCCTCCTCCCAGACTCCTTCACCACGAAACACCAATCCCTCTACGAGCAGACCCCCGCCTCCGCCGCGGACGCCCTCCCGCTCTCCAAGCCCGAGATCTCAATCATCGCCGCGCACCCGGAAAACGTCACCACCGCCGCCGCGTTGACGGAGGTCGAGGGCTTCGGCGTGGACGGCGTGGAGCTGAAGTGGGCTCACGACAGCGAGGCCGCCGCCGAGACGGAGGCGCACCAGCCCGGTTTGAGAGATTTGTGGAAGGGACTTGTTGATAACGTTGTTGGGTCGTCGCAGAAGCCTGCTTTCTAAGAGAAGAAATTTAGAAATGCTGTGTGCTCCGACGGAAGGGTTGGGATGATTGTCATGATGTGAGACTAAACAGCAAAGCGGATGATATTACTTCAACGTCATGTTAGTATGTGGACTTGCTTTGGATAGCAGTCGAGACAATTCTTTTTTTCATTTATCGTTGGTTTACATGGTTTTAATTGCGATTCAGTTGGTAGGAACACCAACTTGACATTCACAATCGGGTACGAGTAGCATTTCAAAAATTCAATGGCTCACATTTGGATCTTGCTTGAGCAGATCCAGCCCAAACTTCAAGCCTCATCAACTACATGCAAAGGCACGGTGACAATTGATTCTTGAAAACTTTTGATTGCCAATTTGGTATCGTCCGGTACCGTACACTCCTTTTCGCGGATATGTTTCGCGATCCTTAACATTTGCTTGCACCTCGGTGACTGAAAACCCCGAATTCATCGACCCTCCTCGTACATTACACAGGTGTCCATCCTGGCGCAATAACATCTACTTGTCGTCTGCCCCCTACGTCCTGTGCTCAATTGCCTGACGCACACCGTCCACCGACTCACCCAGGTATGAATCTAACTCGTCCAACCACTAGACACCTTTCTACATTTACCGCTTCTTCATGGTCGGGCGAGGCTTGCACTCATCCGCCTGAACCGGGTGCAACATGACCTTGGTGGGGTACGCCTGCGTGTTGTGCTGGAAGCCCTTAGCCCAGTCGTAACTGATACCATACGCGAAGATGGATCCGGTCTTGTTGAAGGTAGTGGCCGTGATGCTGCCGCCGACCTGGGGGTAGCCCTTGAGACGGTGCTTGGCATCCTTGTCCCAGAAGTGGAAGGTGCCGTCAGAGCCGGCCGTGCTGAAGGTGCCGTGAACGGGGTGGAAGGAGATGTCATTGACAGCGTAGACGTTGGTGACGTTGTTGGCGGGAGGGTCTCGGTGGCACTTGAAGGAGAAGTTGGATCTGTTTGTGCAGTGTTAGCCGCCTGCCGCAATTCGTTCGCGTATTCACAGCAATCAAAACTTACGTAGCATCCTTGTCCTCGACATACTGAATCGCGCAACGTCCCTCGATACTACCAATGGCAAAGCCAGCAGCGTCCGCGAAACAGCTGACGACCCTCGTCTGCCACTTGAGAGGACTCTGCAGGGTCTTGTAAAACTTTGTCGGGTTCTTGAGGTCCACCACGTTGATGTACCGGTCGGCGGTTCCTATGACGAGGAGATCGTTTCGCACGTCGATCGTGTATACGCGTTCCTGGCAGGCCAGCGACGCCGCAGGTGTGGGCGAGCGCATGTCCCAGTACTTGACCGTCTTGTCCCAGGAGCCCGACACGGCCATCGGAGTACCGGACGACTCGAAGAAGCGGACCGACTTGACGGGCTGGTCGTGCTCGCCAATCTTGATCGTCTGCTGGGAGCCCAGGTCGCAGAGCTTGACGGCCTTGTCAGCGCCGCCAGAGAGAACTTTTGTGCCGTCCTTGTTGGAAGAAAGTTAGCCAGAGACTCGTTACGTATGGACGTAAGAAACGGAGATATCATACCTTGGACCAGTCGCAGCCCAAGACTGGGCCATCGTGTTCGTAGGCGTGCCGCCCTTCGCTCTGCCCGTTGGGGGCAATCTCGTATATCCTGACTTTCTTGTCCCAACTGGAGACTGCCAGGAAGTCGCTGGTCTGGTTCTGAGCGGGAGAGAAGGCGAGATCGGAAATGCTGTCTTCGGGTGGGTTGTTGAGAGCGACGTCCTGCTTGAGATCGCCGACCGTGTTGCTCGACGAGGCCGCCGATGCGGCGCCAAAGAGGCCGGACATGTTGTCGGTGTGTTGTCGATCGAGCTACGTAGCTGTGGTGTTTCTGCGTGGGCGGTAAGAATGGTGTCTTGAAATTTCGAAATACGCGTTGTCCTGTCGATCAGTGTGTCTGCTGAAGAGGATCGTTGGCAGTAGAGGCGGGCGGCTGGAAGCTTCAAGTAGCTGTTGGGAATCGTCTCCAAGTGAAGCTTCCCGTCCAAATTCCACAGACCAGGCACGAAGGCAGTCGCGATGCGAAAAGTGATGGCCACCTTCCATTGGCTGAAAAAGCCACAAGGCTGGGTGCCTGACGTCCCTGCGCTTGAGCCACACCTCCGTTCAAAGGCAGGCAGAGAGAGAGGTCTCCACAGCACAACAGCCACAAAACGAGCCCCACCTTACAGCTCCGAAACTTTTTTTTTTTCTTTATAAAAAAGACTGCAAGCTTCGCGTCTACTCTCTTCCCTTCTTCTTCTTCTCTTCAACCCCCCTCGTCCGACAAATCGCCATCGAAGCTCACAAACGGAGATTTCCTTCACGGGAGTCTCAAATGCGAAAGCTTTGGGAGAAAGTCCCCGGACACACGTTACTTCCCTGTTACAGGGGAAGCCAAAACGCCGCGGAAACGCGCCGCCATAGAAGCACAGCGGCTGACCTCCAAGACCTGCGCCCGGACACAATGAGCTCTTTCACAACCCTGTCCCGTCGCTACATTGTTGGTCTTCTCTGCTCTTTCGAGACCCTGCTTTCGCTTTCCGGGACCCTTTGGATGAAGATATGAGTCCGCGCCTGGGGAGTTGCGAGTTGGGGATCATGGGTTAGAGGAGCTTTCGACGACGGGGTGGCCGTTGGTAGGGTCTTGCTTGCCGGGCGAATTCAAGGGTATGTCGGAGGGTCTTTCGTCGAGATCGATAGGTATGCGATTGCCCGTCCACGACCTCTGTACTGAGGTTGGGGCGTGTTACTCGATGGGGCTTATTCTTGGTGCGAGGGGGGTTCAATCCAAACCTTTTGGATTTTGTTTCTTGAGGGTTTCGTCTTCAATCTTTCCTTGTTGGTCCGCAAAGGGGCTAGACACCTACACTCTGGACTTCTTGGGAAGTCTCACCCGTCTATGATGCCCTGGATTCAACGGGGGATGTTGGGACACAGTTCAAGTTCGATGATGATTACCTATAGAGTCAAGCACTGACGGTGAGAGGCCTTAGGGTCCGCCAATGTGAGCGACAAAACATGCGTTATGGTATCTGATGAACACTTGGAACATTTTTTTCTTTCTTTTTAAGTATCATTCAATTGTCAAAGGACTGAAAAGTCCGAGAGATGTTGTCTCCCTGTGGCTCATGTCATAGAGGTATATATATATAAAGAAGAATAGAAACAAACATGAACATGGTATATCTGAAAAGCCTCGTCAGAACGTGCCCTGCGCCGAAAATCTCTTCCACGTTTCAAACATGAACCATCCATTCGTAAAAGGGGTGCGCCAAAAGAAAGAACTCCGTAGACAAAAACAGTGCAAATCATTCCGGACATGGGTCCCATATATCCCGTACGGCATTCTCCATCACATAAGCCCACCAAGCACAACCTTGCCGATATTGGCCACCTCCGTCTTGATGTGCGACCTGCTGCTGTCCTCAAACTCCTTGACGACGCCCTGCACGATGATCTTGCGCACTTTGGCATCCGCTTTTGCAAAAAGCTCCGCCACGGGCGCCGTCGTCTCCCGCGGCGTGGGCACCAGGCTCAGCACCTTTGTGTAGACGTCAATCAGCACCTCGCAGAGCGTCGCAAACGTCTCGTAGAAATCCGGCTCGAACGGTAGCGACGGCGTGAGCAGGTGCGTGTACACCTCCCCCGGCAACAGGTCGTTATCGCTCGACGCAAAGGACATAACGCTCGCGCTCGCGCTCGACGAGCCCCCGATTCCGCCGTAGCTTCCGCCGCTCGCCGAGTCCGAGTCGAGGGGGTATCCGATGTCGTTAGCGCCGCTGGTGCTGCGCCGTGATTTGCCGCCCTGGCGGCGGAACATGGAGGGGAGGCGGGCGCGGGAGAGGGAGGAGGTGGAGGTGCCGCCTTCGCTGTGGAGTTGTTGGAAGGATTCGAATTCTTGGAGGAGGTTGTTGAGGCTGCGGAGGAACTCGATGGGGGTGTTTGCGTAGAGGTCGACGATTGTGGGGAGGGAGAGGCCGAGGAGGAGGTAGTTTGTTGCGCGGCGGGCGAGTTTGCGCGATTCAAAGGAGGGCATGCGGGCGAGGTCGGGCTTGTCGAAGAGGATTGTGTTGAACCAGTATACTCGGCCTTCGTGTCTGTTGAATCATAGTTAGCACGCGAGTATTCCAAGCAGAGAGAGGATGAGAGTGAGAGAAGGGTAGCATACGCTTTCCGTAGATAGTCCAACGTTGATATCCTCTTGTTCGCAATCTCCTGCATCTGCATGTGCAACACGACAGACTCGCTCGACTGCCACATGTTGGGATGTGTCGCGGACGTGGGCGGGGGTTGTAGGCGGTCGCTGGGCGCCAGGCTCGTCGAGCCGGTCTGGGTACGGCTCAGCATCCTGGAGAAGCTGTCGGCGGAGGCGGGGCTCTGGATGTTGTCTGCGTCGCGGGTGATCTTTGCGGCGGCGGCGAGGGCGAAGTCGGGGAGTGCGGGCGGAACGTTGCGGTCGGTGACTACGACATTGCCTCCTCCGCCGGAGCTGGAGCTGTTGGCGCGGCGCTTGGAGGAGGAGGAGGATAGGGAGGAGGACTTGTTGGGCGAGCTGAAGGAGGTCTTGCGGCCAAAGGAGTTCTTGCGATCCTTGAGGAGGACGTTGGGGCCGGAGGACTGCGGTTGGAGGGGCGGCGGGAAGAAGGGGGACGGTTGCGGTGGTGGTTGGGACTGGGACTTTTCCGGTGGTTCGCCAGAGGAGGTGCCGGGACGGGATTTTGAGGAAGAAGAGGAGAAGAAGGAGGAGGAGAAGAATGGCGCATTGGCTGTCGTGGGAGGTGGTCCGGATCGCTGCATGTCTTTGAGTTGGAGGGGGTGGCCTGGAGGCTGAGCCTGGGCCGCCTAGGAGTGGTAGTGGGAGTGGGAGAGAGGTGTGAGAGGATGGGCTGGACGGGGACGGGAACGGAGAGCGGGCGGGATGACGGGGGATGACGGTGTGGTTCGCGCCAGGGAGGTGGAAGAGTTTCCCGTAGTTGGGTACGCAGTACGGAGTGGGAGGGCGTGGAAGGGGAAGGGGTGTCAGGGACCAGGTTCAGGATTCCGGCGAAGGAGGGCGGACGAGGGGCCGAATCGATCGGCGAGGGTGGTTTCGCGCGTGGTCAGGCCAGGTTCGAGGTGGTATTGGATCCCGAGGCGTGCGGCTGCGACTGCTGCGTTGCGTTGCGGTTGCGATTTGCGTGGGTGAGTTATGAATAGAGTGCTAGATGCCGGTGAGGGATATGGAGTGTGTGCGTATCTGCGTTGGTGCGTCGAGTGGTGCAGCTGAATGAATTGTTTGCTTTGTCTTGCTCTCTCTCTCTCTCTCTCCCTCGCGGGTACCTTGCGCAAGTAAGGTAAGGTACGGTACTTTGCTGAATGAAGTCTGCAAGCCAAGGATGGATACAATGGAGTTGCTGCTACCCCCCTTGCCTAAGGTAAGGTACGAATACAAAGTTGAGTTGGTTTGTGTGTGTACTTGGGTGCGTATGTGCTTGGTTTGCGTGGTTGGTGGTTGCGTCGTGCTGCTCGCTTGAATCCTGGTTGGACCCGATGCGCGAACTTGCTCAATTGCCCCCCCTTGCTTGACACTCTGACTTGCTTTTGCAGCAGCTTACGGCTTTCGTCTGCCCAGTCTCAAGTCTCCGGTTGGTCGATCGTAGGCCACGAGGCCACTTTTCCCCCCTTTGCCACGGCCCACGGGTTTGCTGCTAAGCAGATGTGGTGTGCTGGTGCTGGTGCTGGTGCTGGTGCTGGTGCTGCTGATGGCGCTGCTGCAAGGCGGAAATAGGACCGGTTCACTGGACTGAAGGTTGATCTCAATCCCCTTCCGATAGGTACTAGGTAGGATACCTAGACGAATGGCACACGCAGCCTGTAGGAACCGCAGGTTAAGATTAGCTCAAGGCCCCTGGGTTGCGGCACTTGACGCAGAATGCGATTCGGACAGATTGGGGCTAGTCGTCAGCCTGCAGGTTGGAGTTTAATCAAGACTGGAGAAACGCGGAGCTTGGAGTTGCTTTGGTTCAAAAGTGTAAAAGACGTTGCGTCGCGGGCGGGTTTCGTTCTTTGGAGAGGGGGGGGAATTTGAGTTGCTGTTGCTCCAGCCTTCGGCGTGCTTGATGTAGGACGGGGGTTCGTGACGGTGGGTGATACAGATAGGTGGGATGGACAGAAAGAGAGGATCGTCAGGTTTATCCGGGACGTATTGATTTTATTATGGGTTTGTTGTATTTGTTTTTGTTTTGTTGCTGCTTCGGAGTGAGAAAGTGGATGTCAACTATGTCCAGGATGATGTTCGGAGACGGACGGGGGTGTTGGATCGTCCAGGCAAAGTCCCAAAAACTGTGAGGACGTAGTACGGGGTAGTGAGCAAGGGAAAAAGATGTCCAGAGAAATGGATGTCGTGCGTTTTTTGTTTGTTCTATTCTCTACAACCCCTCCCAGAGAATATGTAGGGACTATCCGCAGTCTCCTTGCCGGTGTGGGTTAGGTGAGGGGATGGTTCATGTAGCACAGAGCTATTCGTAAGGTACAGACAGAAACAAACAATCCACCTGACGTATGCGAACTTGAAATAGCGATTATCCGCGGAAAATGTCTGCACCGTCCGTTCGCAGCTGTGGTTCCTTTCTTTGTGTAGCCGACGATCTCGGGGCACCCCCTAAACACCTGAAGTAGGTAAGGTAGGTAGTATTGTTGGTGCTTGGGACTGGAGAACTTGGCGGTCGGGTACTTTCTGAGACCTGTTTTGGCGGGGTTCGGAGGTTTTGAAAAAGGCTAAAAGAGTACCCGAATTCCAACAAAAATAATGACGAGAGTGAATAAAAAAAAAAAAGTTGTGTCTGGAATTAACTCGGGCAGAAAATAATCCCAAACATGATAAGACGACACAAATAGCTGGTGCTACTATAGAAATCTGGAGGATGGAAGGTCCTACCACCCTCTAGGAACTAATCAGTTATCTACTAACAATTTCTTAACACATCAGCTCCGTGTCCAAGCTGCGTTTATCCCTGTGATTGTTACTGTATGCTGATCACCGTTCGTGGTCTGTAGATAGGTACACAGGTGATCTTCTGCCGGGTTATCTCATGTTTGCCTGCACGGTGTTTCCCCAAGCAGTATTCCGAACATCTTAGAAAGGAAAGGCATTGGAAGATGCAAATGCCATTTCGTTTGCGCTTGCTCACTGCCATACTTCGAGATGTAGCTTCGTAAAAGGAACATAAACGTATGGAGAATGCGCCTCTCACAGACATCCGTCAAACAGCAACTCGCAGCTAAACTTGGTACCTCATCATCACGTCCGAGTTGCACACCGGAGCAAAGGTATCTGCAAGCCACATTCATCTTTGCGACGCAGATACTCGACACAGATACTCGACACAGATATTCGACACCGAAATGGCTTCGGGAAAAGGCCATGGCTGCACGGGAAATGTTCTAGGGGCCAGCTTACCGAATTATTCCTCAGCCGTGCTAACCACGAATGCATGGAAGCTTTCCTATCCAGGTGGTTCTGCTCCATTTCCCGGCGCTTCTTCACCGAGGTACTAAATAAGTCTGATTCCATCGTGAAACTTCTCCCCCTCTCTCTTCAACCCCTCTTGCCCACCTATCCATTATCTGTAACACCCGTGAGCAGCGGGAACAACAACAACATCCATCATCCGCAATGCATACCAATTACCTTGCGATAGATATCAAGCAAGGCAATGTTGACGATTGGCCAATCCTCCCCGGGGTCAAGCAGATCATCTGCTCCCGAGCGCCCACAGACACCGAGCCGTTGCTTCTAAATATCGGAGTCTACCACCGCGCAGCGCCCAAAGCGCAGACTCGACAACAAGAGCACGGCACACACACAACGCAGCACATGCCCTCCCTTGATCCTTCTCCTCCTCCTCCTTCTCCTCCCGGAAGCCTCTGGGCCTTCCTATCAGTCTCAGTCCCATACCTAGGCAGCTTGGTCTCCCCGCGTAGACCCTGAAACATTCCAGAAGCTCGAGTCCCACGTGGTGAACGGACTCCCGGCCAAGGACCATACCACCCTTGAATCCCACCACCCGCACCATTTCACCCACACGATTGGGCTTGTTATCCGAATGGCTACCTTAGCTAGGTAGTCAGAAGAAAACGCCATCTTCTTCGTTCAAGAAAGAAAGATCAATGTCACAATCCGAGAGGGCCACGCTAGGGAGCACTGATCACACACTGATACAGATTTGGACCCGCAGCCGGGTTAGATGAGACGGAAAGGAAAAGATGAGCTCAACGTCGATCAGCCGCTCTCCCGCACCATGCGCTCCCGCAAACTTCAACGGGGAGTTCATCCGCTTTGGATGAGCCAAAAGCTGGTGGCTGCTTCGAATATGGTTCTACGCTATCACAAGCCCGCTTCAGATGGGAAACCTGGTGGCGGCTCCTTCGAGGCGCAATCGAACGAACTCGTCCCGGTCTCTGTTATTCAGAATCGTCATTACATTACGACTACCGCGTTCTATGTTTCACAAGCTACCACGCGAAGAAACCTTTCCGTGGAATCCTCACGCCGCCATAAGCGTAGCCGCCGGGACCAGCCCCGACGAAGCCGTCGTCGCGCAAACACACCCCTGTCCAGCAATACTCGTCACAGGCGGGCTCGTACACGTGGAATACGGCTCATGCGCCGCAAATGTCGGCACCGGCACCGGCGCCACGACCTCGGCTTTCACAAACACGGGAATAATCTGGCCCGTCGACAGCCGGAAAGCGCGGTGATTCAGCGCCTTCAGGAGCTTGGTGATCTCGCCCGAGTGGCTGGTGATGCTCAACCACGTCTTGTCGTCGGTGCGGAAGACGTCGTCCAGCACGGCTTTCGACCGCGCGTCCTGTGCGTCGCTCGTCTCGCTCTCGTTGCGGCGCCAGAGGGGGTCGTATTCCGCGAACCCCGGCTCGAATTCGAAAGACGGGAAGGTCGAGGCGATGTAGGTCTTGTTGGAGCGCCAGTTGCAGGTGTGCACCGTCATGCCCTCGCGGAAGCCTTCCTTGACGACGGGGATGAAGGGGTGCTCGTCCGCGGGGATGGGGATGTCGCCAAAGGTGATATTGGCGGTGTAGCCACAGCGGATCAGGGGGCTGGTGTAGTAGGACTCGAAGTAGGGCATCTTCTGGGTCGCGTAGCGGTCCTTGAAGTAGGCGTTTGCCTTGAGAGCTTCGTTTGCGCCAGCCGGGGTCAGGAGGGGATCGGCCCAGCGTGCGGTGGCGTTGCCGTCTTGTTCGGCCCAGTAGCACTGTGGTCACGTTAGCTGCGGTAGCCCCTTGGTTTCCGGTGGTGCTGGGCGGCATGTTCTCACGTTCCAGGCGGGAGTGCCGTAGAATGACTCGGCGGCGTTGTGCCAGCCCTCACCATGGCGGCCCATGAAGAGCAGCTTGTACTGAACGCTGTCGCTCTTGCGGCAGCCAGAGTTCAGGTACTGGACCCAGTGGTCGAAACGCTGCCATTGGGTCTTGACGCCCTCGGGGTCGAAGTGCTTGTCTGTTGGGTACGTCCGGTTGATGAGACCAAAGTTGACCGCGGCCTATGGCAGGTTCGTTAGTAACAGGTTCGCATCGGAATGTTTCCCAAGGCAGGCAAAACGTACATAGTCGAAGCCGGTCGGATCAGTGCTGTTGTCGTCCTGCAAAAAGTACCCAGGAACAGACGTGTACTTGATGTCCTTTCCCTCGGCCTCTGGCCAGGCGGCGAGGGCGAGAGGTGCGAGAGCGAGGACGGAAGACAGCACGAGACCCTTCATCATGGCGGAGGTGCTTGTCGAGAGAATGAGCAAGAGGGCTGGAGCTGGAGAGAGCTACATCGCGGCGTCGCATGCGGGGAGGGAGAGAGCTCTGGATAAATAGCACCGAGATGGAGAAGACCGACGATCCCCGCTCCAAGACCCCAGTCATTTCTTCATGGACCATTGATGCGCCATGCCGGGGCAGATTGCCTAGATGGAGTACCGGTGACTCGCCAGACTCAGATTCGAGATGTCGTCCGAAGAAAACTGGCATCCGGGGGACTGGAAAGTTGCGGGTGGTGAAAGATGGTAATCCCTGGCGGTGACCAATGGATGCATCACTTATTGCACGTGGGCGCCTGTAATGGCCTGGGTTCCTGGCAGCGGATGAGACCCAACCACGTTTTTGTTGTTATTCCTGGCTAATTTCGTTTACTTCGATGGAGACAACAAATAGTTGATTGAGGCTCATCTATGGCATCTTGCCAGTATTGGTAGATGGCTGGACCAGCCAGAGTCATCAGTGAGAATTGTCAGGTCTGGGTGGACATCCTGCCCTCCCTAACCATAGCTTCTAGGGCACATTTTTTGCGCATCGTTGCATGATCAAGGCGCCTAGAAGATGGTTCTGGGTAGAGATGGGCAGGAATTCATTGAATAAAGGGAGGCTTCACGACAATAAGTTAAGTTATCAGACGCTGCGGCAGAAGCGTTTATACAAACGTTTGTCAGAAACACGTGCCAATCCGTCCATCTGATGTTTTTGTTGGTGCTACTACGTGCAGTAAGGTAGGTACGTAGATGGGGACAGGGGAAGAACCGTTGGGACGGGATGAATGACAGCGGGCAACACGACAGCCAAACATGTGAACCTCGAGGGCTGGCGGGGACCTTACAGTGGACCTGGGACCTGATTCACCAGAAAAAGGCCCCGTGAGCGCCGTGGCGTGGCCGGTCCGGCCGCTGGAAAGCTCTGGTGGGTCTCGGCTATCGCAGTGGCGCTGGAACCTCGCCAATCACACGGCGCCGCTACGGGAGCGGGACATCGCGACCTGAGCCATTGACATGCCGTCCTTCAAGGCTCAATCAAACCTCATGTGAAATTCGCCCAGTCGGTGAAACTTTGTTGACGCAACACCAGCAGGTCATTATCACAAGACTTTTTTGTGCATTCATTACCTAGCAGTCTTAAGGTCCCTGAGATCCTGGAGAATCAGCGATACATTGGGTCCCCTCCAACTCCCACATCATCAAACCATCATGGTCAACTCCGACCCTGAATACCCACCCGGCGAGCCAGCCCCTGAGATTCTGGAGGAGCGCATCTGGATCGATGGCTGCTTCGACTTTTTCCACCACGGTAAGTCTACTGTCACGCATACTTCACAGCTTCAAAGACTGATCATCACAGGCCATGCTGGAGCCATCGTGCAAGCCCGCCAATTAGGCAGCGAGCTCTACATCGGCGTCCACTCTGATGAGTCCATTCTCGAGAACAAGGGCCCAACAGTCATGACCCTCCAAGAGCGGTACATCTCTCTACTCTGCTTCACAGCACTTTACTAACATTCACAAAAGTCTGGCCGCCGTCGACGCTTGCCGCTGGGTCACAAAATCCATCGGTCAGGCCCCCTACGTGACGCAGCTCGACTGGATCAGCCACTACGGCTGCAAGTACGTCGTCCACGGCGACGACATCACCTCGGACGCTGACGGCTACGACTGCTACCGCTTCGTCAAGGAGGCTGGCCGCTTCAAGGTCGTCAAGCGCACGCCCAGCATCTCCACCACCGACCTCGTCGGCCGCATGCTCCTCTGCACAAAGACGCATTTTATCAAATCCCTGGAGAATCTCTTGTCCGGCGATGAGGGTCAGGGCCAGGGTGCCGCCTCCCGGGACGAGATCAAGGCCGAGGCCGAGGCCCTGACGGAGCGGATGAAGCTGTACGCTACCGACGAGACGGGGAAGAATCCCGGCGTCGAGGTGTGGTTCTGGGCTGCGTCGGGGGAAGCAAAGGCTGAGGCCACGGTCGAGGAGAAGGGTGTGTTTTCGCGGTTCTTGCCGGGAAAGGGGCCGCAGATCGGTCAACGCGTCGTCTACGTCGATGGCGGTTTCGATTTGTTTTCCAGCGGGCACATTGAGTTCCTCCGCCGGGTTGTCGAGGCCGAGGAGGAGCTGGCGCGCGGGGAAGGGTGGTATTCGGAGCAGGCCGTCAACGAGCGCGTCAGCAAGGGCGGCGATTATCCGCCTGCGTACGTCGTGGCGGGTATTCATTCTGACGAGGAGATTAACCACTGGAAGGGCATCAACTATCCCATCATGAACATTTACGAGCGCGGTCTCTGCGTGTTGCAGTGCAGGGTAGGTCCTTCAACAGCCATGATGGACGGCTTCGAGCATGACTGTTCAAGTAGCGATGTGCTAACGACTAGTATTGCAGTACGTCAACGCCGTCGTCTTCGGCGCTCCATTCTCCCCGACAAAGGCCTACCTCACGTCTCTGCCGTGGGGCACGCCGGACGCCGTGTACCACGGCCCGACGGCCTTTATGCCGCTGACGTACGACCCGTACACGGCGCCCAAGGAGATGGGCATCATGCGGGCGGTGGGCGAGCACGAATTTGCGAGTGTCAACGCGGGGACGATTGTGCAGCGCATCATGAGGAGCCGCGACATGTACGAGGAGCGGCAGCGCAAGAAGGGCATCAAGGCCGAGGGGGAGTCTGCGGCGCGCGGCAGGGAGATTCTCGAGGAGGAGCAGGCGGCGCGGGAGGCGGATAGGGCGCGGCAGTGAGATTGTGTGTGTGTGTGTGTGTGTGTGTGTGTGTGTGTATCATGGGTCTATAGGAGGAGCATCATTATGAGGCGGTAGCATGTTTACATTTGGATACCTCGAGTAGTAGCATTCATTAGGTTGAAGGGCAGAATGGATTGGCCTTCAACAGGTCACGAGCTGAAGAAAGGGAACTACCGAATGATACCTGGAGAGAGTACTGGAAACCACAGACAGTGAAATGTTACTTTAGTATACTTACCACGACGCGTCTGCTAGTTTCCGCGTGTCATTGCTTGGGATGTCTCGGTTGGGCATATGTGGGTGAGTCTGGGTGTGCGTGAAAGTGTGTCTCACAAGGATGAACGGCGTCTTTTACATTCTTTCCAGACCGCCTCTCTGTGAATGATATAGCGTGATAGGTAGGTAGGTAGTCAGACACACACTGCGCAGACAAG